TTTTCACAATTCAAGGGATAGTTTGATTTCCCAATGCACTCTAGAAATGGTCTCTTTAATAAAACAAAACTCTCTCAGGAACTGCCTCATTGCTAACTCTGATGATAACAAAAAAGAAAGTCATGAACTACATACAATCTAGGATTATGTCTGAACACCAGATGGGATAGAGACCACAGACTGGATGCATTGCTCCTTGAAGACTATATCACCCAAGGTAGGGGATTCTGATTAAAGGATCCTGGAACAACGTATTTTCTCCTCAAGCTCTTGATGTCAGCTATATAAGTGCAAGGCAACAAAATTGTGATCACCTAATCTATACGGCAATTCATGCACTTATTATTTCTATCTCTGTCCATGTTGAACAGTGCAAAACTAAAGAGTGTGACTTGTGGAATATACACCTTGCCTTTCTCCCGGAATGGGAACCAAGTTAACTTGCAACAAGGTTAAAACAACATATTACTTTGATTTTAAAAAAAAGAAATTAGCTATCATATTAACAAGTGTACCCTATAATCCAAGTCCAGTCTGGAGTCCAGATGGAGAAAGAAAGTGTAGCTGCCCCCAGGGCCAGTCTGGAGTAGCAATACTCCATCCTGCACTAGCGGTAGGGAAGTATTCAGACTAATTTAGTATCACAGGACAGTCACTTTACCTTGGCTGTCCCTGTCACCACTGCCAGATGGCCACAAAGCTCCAGTCAGGTGCTCTCTGGAATCCCATGGCTATCTGTCATTGTGACCAGAGGATGATACAGGCCTAATCCCTGTCATATTCTTGCACCACCAAACCATGTGGACAGTGGACTGGCAGCAGCAAGTCTGTGGACAGTGCACTACTTTGGATTAGAGCCAGACCTTCTATCCAAATCCATCCCAAAGTTCAGGACTGCTCCAGAATTTAACCGAAACCGTATAACATGGGGCAAAACCGGATAAATCCAGTTGCCCATGTCCCTGATCAGCACATGGACAACCAGGAGCTACTTGTAGTCTAAATCAAGGGTTTGAGCCAATACAGACAAGTCCAGAGAGCCAGCATGGTATGGTGGTTTGAGTGTTGGAATAGTACTTTGGGAAACAAGAGTTTGAATCCCTGTTCAAACATGGAAATCTGTTGAATAGTCTTGGTCAAGTCATAATCTTTCATCCTCAGAACAGGGCAATGGCAATTCTTCTTGGAATAAATCTTGTCAAGAAAACTCATTAATAAGTGTGCTTTAGAGTCCTTCTCAGGGAGCTCCCGGTGATGCAATGAGTTAAACCTTGTGCCAGCAGAACTACTGACCAAAAGGTCCATGGTACAAATCTAGGGGGCAGGGTGGGCTCCCGCATGTCAGCTCCAGCTTCTCATGCAAGGATATGAGAGAAGCCTCCCACAGGATGGTAAAACATCCAGGCACCCCCTGGGCTATGTCCTTGCAGATGGCCAATTCTTTCACACCAGAAGCAACTTGCAGTTTATCAAGTCGCTCCTGACATTTAAAAAAAGCCAAAATGGCTTGAAGGCACACGACAACAGCCACAATTATAACAAAAACAAATTAAAGTCAAATTAAAAAGCTAATAGTATGAAATAGTTTTAAATCATTTTAAAAACATAATAATACCAGTAAGAATAAAAGTGCAAAACACATACTCTCCATTTAAAAAAAAAAGAATTCAACACAACTAATTAATTACCAAATCCCTGCAGAAGAAAGGCAGAGTGAGGGTCCAGACTATTCTCCCATAGGAAGTCGTTTCACCATCTGCCACCAAGAAGGCCCTCTGCTGCATCTACACCCAAGTGGCCTCTGATAATGGTGGGAAAAAGGCCATACCTAAGGTAAAGGTAAAGGATTCCCCTGACATTAAGTCTAGTTGTGTCCGACTCTGGGGCGTGGTGCTCATCTCCATTTCTAGGATGAAGAGCCGGTGTTGTCCATAGATGCCTTCAAGATCATTGGCCAGCATGGCTGTATGTAGTGCCATTACCTTCCTGCCAGAGTGGTACCTATTGATCTACTCACATTTGAATGTTTTTGAACTGCTACGTTGGCAGAAGCTGAGGAGCTCACCCTGCTTCCTGAATTCGAACCGCCTGCCTTTCGGTCAGCAAGATCAGCAGCTCTGCAGTTTAACCCAGTGCACCACTGGGGGCTCCCATATGACAGTGTAGGCCACACCCACACTGCCATATAATGCAGTTTCAAAGTGCATTATATTGTCAGTGTAGACTTATATGCTCTCATTCAGTATCTGGCTGTGTAGATGGGGCCTGAGTGAATGTCTTCCTACAAGGATCTTAAATCTCAGGGAGACAGGAGGAAAAATGGAGAGGTTGAGATTGGAGGGGGGATCCAAACCCAATCTACGTAGGGCTTTATCACTGTGAATTATGAAACAAATTGCTAGCCAATGAAACTGTTTCAGTAAGGAATTTACATCTTCCTGGCCATCATAATGGTCACAGCCATTTGAACCCACTAAAGTTGCCTAATAATTTCCGAATGCAGCTCTGTGGCAGAACATGTTACACTAATCAAGGCTCATGTTGCTATAGCCAAAGCTAGCATCTCCAGGAATGGGCAAAACATAGACCTACATGCACATTTGTTGTTTTCAGATGAGACACATATATGCTATCATATTAAATCTCAATATAATAAATACATTAGGTGTTACAACAGAATTATGTTTCAGGATATCAAATATCTGTATCTCACAAACTCAAACATCAACCAAAAAAACTACACCTAAAATGAAAGCTATTATGAACAACTATTGATGGAAATATTAAACCACAGCATGGAGAGTCTTAACACATTCTGCTTTGCATTTTGAACAGTGCTAGACATTAAACTAAAATAATATCATATGATGTCATATCGGAATAATTGCCAACACGCTCCTGAGGTCTTCCAGATGTGAAAGGAGTCTTTCTGTTCATTTACCTCAATATGAGGGGGATTCTTTTATTTTTCTTTCTTTCTTTTTTAAACATCTTTTCTCAGAAATACTTATCACTTCATCAGGCTGCCTCATGATGCCAAGTCAGCATCTTTACAGACTCAGTGGAATTAGCATCACATGTGTTTTAGCATGGAGACTTCGAGATTGAAAACTGAATACAGCAATTAAAAGGAACTAATGACAGCAGCATCCAAGCTGCATGCAAATCATCTTAACTTATAGAAACAAATCAATGACCTAAAATGCAAATGTTCATAAAGAATAAACCTTGTACAAAGAGACATTAATACCATTTTCAAACATTAAAACATTACCCACTTCCCACTCTTTCCTTCAATCTCCATAAGTCACCCACTTCGGCCCAACACTCTTCTCTAACCCCAGAGTTTTTCTTATGCTTTTTGCTTCTTGCTATTTCTAGCTATTGCCTTATGATGATTTTTAAATCATATTTTCTCACTTCAAAAACACCTTTTCTCCACTGAGATGATGAAATGCACTCTTTCAATGCTTTCAAAACAACCCAGAAGTCAAATATTTTGTGATGGCTCTTAGGGTACTGCAGGGGATCACAGATGATCATAGCAAAATAGGAATCAATAAATAATACTGTCCAACATACTTTAATCTCAGTGTATCAATACAAATTACTCATGGGTATTCTGAAGAAAATAGCCTTTGATGTTTATACACACTTATATCCTGCATTTATGTGTGTGTAAATGCATGCACACACTCACAAACACATATACAAACACATAAATCCATATACCCATAATCATACTTTTCAGCAAAAGAAAGCTAGCAAAGTAAAGTGGAAAAATGAGGCAGATGATAGGGAAAGAAGCAGAGAGGAGACGCAAGCTAGAAATCTGCATTATAGCTGAGAGTCTGCATTTTAAATAAAATAATCTATTTTTTCTACTCACAATAGCCAAAATGACAATGTTTTACTTTTATCTGTTTATTTATTGTAAGCCTCTGTGAAAAAAAAAGTCCCTCCTTCTTTCTCTACTGTAGAGACTTTGTTTCCAAAATCTCTACAGATTTTGGAAACGTAACAGCATTAGAAAACAAACATTCTATTACTAGGTGTACATCTATATTTTGATAGCACTGCCATGGCAGAGTTTGATATCAATTTAACTGCCATGGCTCAGTGAGGTACAAGCACTCTTAGTCTAAGAAGGATAAAGGCCACAGAATTGTACCAGCGCAGTTAAATTGTGTCAAACGGCATTGATTCTACAGTGTAGATAAACTGTAAGACAATGGTTCTCAAACTATGCTCCTCCAGATGTTTTGGACTTCAGCTCCTACAATTCCTAACAGCTGATAAGCTGGCTGGGATTTCTGGGGCCCCTTCCACACAGCTGAATAAAATTCCACATTATCTGCTTTGAACTGGGATATATGGCTGTATGGGCTCAGATATCCTGGTTCAAAGCAGATATTGTGAGATTTTCTGCCTTGATGTTCTGGGATATAGGGATTTGTGGAAAGGGCTTTGGGAGCTGAAGTCCAAAACACCCAGAGGAGTACAGTTTGAGAAACACTGCTGTAAGAGAATGAGGACTTCTCTACACAAGCCCAAACCCCCAAAGTGGACCAGGAGTTGCTCCTCAATGTCCAGATGATGTCAAGGGGCTTCTAGATTTAGTGCAGGGTAAACTGGTTTAGCCCGGCATTAAGGAAAGTCAGGTAATGCACCAGCATTTTGCTGAAACTCCAGAGAAGCCTCACATTTTGGGCAGAGTTTAGACAAAACTACTAGCTCGGGTGTGATTCAGCTGGGTGTCTGTTTCTGTAGATTTTGGATTTTATTTTAACAAGTGTATGAAGCTTCTTTACTGCTTCTTGCAGTAACCCTCAAGAATACTAAATAAGAAAAGCAAAGTGGGAAGTGTAGTACTTTTAATTAAAAGGTATATTTACAATATCACAGTTGATTTCTGTTCCACTCTGAAAACATCTGTTTTCAACTGTAGGGCTCTTAATGGAAGGGTTGTGGTATTAAACAGGAATCCATAACTCACTTACCTCAGGTATCTGTCTTAGAACAGGAAGAAATTTCAGGACACAGTTCTGAATGTAAATCCCTTAATTACTGGCTCCATCAAATGTACATCATCGCTCACTGTACTGATGTGAGTCATATCTGAGAAAGAGAGGGAGTATACAAGAGAAAAGTCTTAAGTCATTTAATGTCAGTAGAAATGACTCTGAGTGTGTGTGCACATCAACAGTACATTTGTACACATGAACCCAGGAAATGATAGATTACATCACCAAGGCAGTAACTCCATTTGATGTTTCACTGTATTAGACCTTAAATAAATTATGATTCATCATAAAGAATTACTCTATCGCAGCTCAGTATGGTTTCTCATGTGCTAGTCTGCACACATACATGAATTATCACTGAGTATTTTGGATCTACCACAGATCTTACTTTTAAGTCAGCTCAAGGCCAATCAGGAAATTAAGTTTGCACTGATAGTTCAAGCTCCACTGAATGTTTGCATAATATTACAACAGATATTAAATTATCTTAAGAACATATTTCCCTCTCATTCAGCCATATTGTCACATATTGCCAACAGAGGCATCCCCTCCAACTGTCCAAATTTGGCAGGAACAGTTTCAATTAATCCTTTGTCACCCTACTTTTCAGCTGCTTTCATAAAGTCCCAGTTTATTTCTCCTCCTCCCACATTCCACCTTGATTCTCTGCTTTTTCTGTTTACTCCTAACTAAATTTAAAGTGCAAAAGTAGTTTGCACAAAATCATCTCAACATGCAATGAAGGACAGAAGTGGGTGAAATCTTGTCCCTTCGAGGGGGATCTGGTAAAAGCAAACTGCTGCCGCCTCTCCTAGTCTGTATGTTCTTCCTCATTAATAACTTTTTCCATCTTGATCATGTTCTCATGTTGCTTGCCCAAACATATTCCAGTTCTCATCTGTGAAACGCTGGAAGGTATGAGAGTGATACACCAACAGAGTGAAACACCTCTAAGGCTAAGAATGCATTAGCTAGAAAAGAGCATTGTAAGTAAGGCCCCACTGCTGAACAATGAAAATGAAAATGTTCCAGGTCTGCTATGAAAATACAACCATTTAGATTGTGTTAAAGTTTGCAAGAGGGGAAAAGTAAGTGAAGGCCATAGTCCTATGCAGTTAAAATGGTGTGAGCTTCCTGAACACTGTGGTACTCGTTCTGTGTATATACACATATGGCTGTGCTGTTAGCTTAAATATAAAATAGGTGTCATAAAAACAAGTTAAGTTCTAGCACAACTGTGACAATATAAAGAGAATGAATTCTGAGAAAGGTTTTTATTATTTTACAATTTAGAACACATAAATGAAAAATACATTTGTTTTCTTAGCAATCATTTGGGTGGGAGTATATAGCTAGGGGAACTGGAGAGAATTTGATGAATAGGAGATGCTTTTGTCTTGCTCATATATTCTTTTATGATGTTTTATTGAACAGTAATAGTGAATGGCTGAGACAAAAATATAAATATTTTTACAGGCCTCACTGTATTCAGGTTCACGATTCTATAAATAGTTTCAGAATACATGGATAAATTTACACATTTGGCTTCTACCTTCAGTCCCATACTGAATCTCACAGAAAATGTTGTTGTTTTTTTTAAAAAAAAAAAAAAAAGAAAACTCCATGATTTATTTTAAAGACACAATAAGAAATAGTGAGAATTTACTCTTCACATTTTACTCTATGAGTGATCATTATATATATTTGTAATCCTGCATTAATTGCTAAAAAGCATAGCCTTTGAGATCCTTTCTTGATATAAAAGTCTGGGTAGGGTAGGTAAAGGTTTTCCCCTGACATTAAGTCCAGTTGTGTCTGACTCTGGGGTTGGTGCTCATTTCTAAGATGAAGAGCCGGCATTGTCCATAAACACCTCCAAAGTCATGTGGCCAGCATGACTGCATAGAGTGCCGTTACCTTCCTGCTGAAGCGGTACCTATTGATCTACTCACATTTGCATGTTTTCAAATAGCTAGGTTGACAGAAGCTGGGGCAAACAGCAGGAGCTCACCCCACTCCCCGGATTTGAACAGCCAACCTTTTAGTCAGCAAGTTTAGCAGCTCAGGGGTTTAACCCACTGTGCCACTGTCTTAAAAGTCTGGATAGGGAATGGTAAAAATCATATCTGCATTACTATGAATTCTTTTAGTGTCAAATAATGTCACCTTTATTTTTATTGAACAATAAGAGGATGTCCAACTCTATCACTCCTTTCTAGCTGCTGCTAAGGAGGCTGCCCAGATCCTGAACCAGTGCTTGGTAGGCACTGAGGATGAAGGTGAACAAATTGAAATGGAATCCAGACAAGACAGAGGTATTCCTAGTCAGTTGAAAGGCCAAACAGGGTATAGGGTTACAGCCTGTTTTGGACGGGGTTACACTTCCCCTGAAGACTTTGGTTCACAGTTTGGGAGTTCTCCTAGACTCATAACTGAAACTGGAACCCCAGGTCTCACAGCTAGGGGAGCTTTTGTACAATTAAAACTAGTGCACCAGATAACCTTGGTAAGTCAGACTTGGCCATGGTAGTCCACACTCAAGTTACATCCTGATTAGACTACTTTAATGCGTTCTACATGGAATTACCTTTGAAGACTGGAAGCTTCAAATGGTCCAACGGGCAGCAGCCAGATTGCTCGCCAGAGTAGTGTACAGGTAGCATACAACCCCCCTACTATGTCAGCTCCACTGGCTGCCAGTTGGCTACAACGCACAATTCAAGTGCTGGCTTTAGCCCATAAAGCCCTAAATGGTTCAGGCCCAGCTTAAATGTGCAAAGTTCAAACCTATCTCCCTCTATGACCCACCTCAGAGGTTAAGATCATCCAGGGAGGTTCTGCTATCAGTCCCACCTCCTTCGCAGGCATGACTGATAGGGACAAGAGACAGAGCCTTCTCAGTGATGGCCCCTCATCTATGGAACTCCCTCCCCGATGAAATCATATCAGTCCCCTCTCTCCTGACCTTCGGGGGGGACGGGACTTAAGACGTAGCTTTGGGGCCAAGCCTTTGACCAATTATTGGAGCAGTGCAATAAGTGACCACAAATTGATGTGATTGACAAATGGAAAGGCCCTGGATTATGATTTGGATGGTGTGATTTTAATTGATGTTTTAATAATTGTTTTATTTTAATTGTAATTGTTTATTTTATGAATTTATATATGTTTGGCATCAAATTGCCGCCTGTTGTAAGGCCGCCTTGAGTCCCCCTCGGGGTGAGAAGGGCGGGGTACCAATGCAATAAATGAATAGATTAAAATCAAGAACTCATACTCCACAGTGAACCTACTGATGTAGCCTATTATTGCAAATATAAATCAATTATTTCAAAAACCCTCAGGACTCCTTCATAAGTGACACCATTTTAAACATAATAAAAAAAATATTTCAAACACACTTGTACTCATTAACATATCCAGTGTACACCACAACAATTTAACTATAAAGGCATGTGAAGACTGCATCAGGCTTTTTTCAAGATGGCAAATGCCCCCACTTTCTCTATATTGAGTTGGATTTTCTTCATAGGATTTTATTTAGCCATTGATCCATATAAGGCAATGACAATCAAACAGACATGAATTAAACTGAGAATATCCCGACATTGGAAATAACATTGGTTTGTGTAGATTAGATGTGCATCATTTTTTAAAGTAGTTTGTTTTTGGTTTTTTGTACAAAATTGTCCTTGTTTGAGAAAGTGAAGGTTAGCTGAATCAATTCCTGGAGGACTCATTCGGATAATCTTAACACCTTTCCATTGGATGGACTGTAAGGAAACACTGTGGCTTCTATCCAAAGCTAAGAGGCCGGGAAGTGGTGAATTACTAGTTTCAGTATTAAAAGTGCTAGAAAAGGAAACATGGGCTAAGAAAATAAGAGGACATAGGTACAAGCAAGCAATTTAGACAGCTTATCCAAAGTGGAAGTGAGACCTTAAATTAGGCAAAGGTATTGAAAGCGCAACTTTATATTTGCTTCTGCTGTGGTTGAGAAATTTCCATCCTTCACACTTTGAAAGAGTGGAATGCTACAGACAGGGTCGTGATTGTAACCATCTAGCAATTCATGAATTATGTAAATGGCTAGGTTATATGCAGTTCAATGAGTCCCTATGCTGTAATCATGTTAAGACAACCTGTGTTGGAGTCTGTGTACCTGAAACTGTTTTCAACACTTCTGTTACACTACTCAATTATACGCAGCAGAGCTTAAAACGTAAGGGTAATCTACTTCATGAAAAATCATTCACATTTCAAATTATTTGTTGGTGTGGCATTTCACATATCACAACCTTAAAGCAAACTTGTCATGGAGTTTTCTTGGCAAGGTTTGCCTTCACCATCCTCTGAGGCCATGAGAGTGTTACATGCCCATAGTCACCCACTTGGTTTCCATAGCTGAGTTGGGATTCCAATGCACAAAACATTATGCTATATAGGACTGTCTTCAGTATGCTACAGGTTTTCAGACTAGGTTGCTATTGGGAATTATGTTGCTGTTGATGACATTATATATATTTGTATCTCACCTCTTCGGTAATCATAATTTATCAAGAAACACATTTTATGATGATGTCAACACTTGAGGAAAAGGATAATGAGCATCATCATCTGGATTTAGACACCACAACACCAAAGATAATGTGCTGCAGTGTGTTCTACATGAGCCACCCTGGCAGAGTATTCGGGAGAGTAATCCAAAGGTCAAAGTGGAGGAAAACACAGACTTCCATCTACTAGCAGGAGTGGGAGTGCAAAAATTCAATAGTTTAGGAAGGGTGGCTCTTAGAAAGATTTTGTATTTGCTACAATTCTAGGGAAATACTGAAAGGCTATAGATCATAAATTGACCAGAAATTTTCACTTCATAAAATCCTTAGCTTTTTATTTTTTAAAAATGAGCAAGCACTGTATATAGACCCCAAGGTTGCAAATACAGCACTCCACAAGTTACAAACATCTGATTTACAAACGACTCACAGTTAAGAACAGGTAGGAAGGAGAATTCAATCCTGAAAGTGTTATCATGGGGAAAGGTGTCTCCACTGAAGCTTTCTCACCAATCCTTGTTTCAACAAGCCATTTTTT